ACACGACCTACATCCACTCCCTGAAGTCTCCCACTTCAGGTATTGCACTATTACCATTTAGTGTCTCTCCTTTTGCCCCATAGTAAGACAGAGATGCCTTTATAAAAACTCTTTTCCACCACTACCCGATGTGGTTAGGGGTGTCAATTTTTGACACGACACGAAACACGATCCGAACCCGACCCGGAAAAATCCGGGTTCGGGTCAACCCAAAACCGAAACGGGTCGGATTCGAGTTCATGAAATCAACCCGTTTTAAAAATCGGGTCGGGTTCGGGTTGACCCGCCAACCCGAAATTGACCCGAAAGTGACACGAAAACTCATTTTTGACCCGAAAACCCGAGATTGACCCGTTTTTGACCCGATTTTGACCCGAAAACCCGAGATTGACCCGAAAATTAGCAATTTTGGGTCAATTCCGGGTCATTCGTGTCGGGTCGGGTTGACCCGGACCCGAATCGGGTCGGGTTCGGGTCCAGAAACCTGACCCGTTTTTAAAAACGGGTCGGGTTCGGGTTGACCCGAACAGTGCCGGGTCAGTTTCGGGTCTGTTCGGGTCAGTTTCGGGTTCGACCCGAACCCGACCCGTTGACCCGAATTGACACCCCTACTACCATCATAGTGAAAAGATGGGAATGTGAACTGGAAAGTGAATTTCATATATAGTAATTTACTTGTACAGGGCTTAGAACTTAAGGATGTCTGTGGTTTTGAGTTATTAATAGGAATGGACATAACCATGAAACATGAATAATGTTTCTACATTCCAAATATCTCAAATTGAAAGAGTTTTCATCTTCATCATATTTATCCCATCAATTAGAGAAGAAATTTTTAAAGTTGGTATTTTTATGTCGGTTAGTGATATGCATTACCTAATAGAATGATGATTACGAGAAGTTGAGTGTTTGCAAGGATGTGGTTTCAAGTTTGGTTATGGCATTATCAGGTAAATATGATACCTGACCCAATGCTGGTGGGTATTGGTAAAGAAAATAAAAAATAAAATAAAAAAATAACAAACAGAACTTTGGCAACAACTGACATAAAAGGAACAAAAAAACCAAGATTCAACCATATGAGTTCAAATCTGACCTGGACGTCCTCGCAATAAGGATCGCGTAATCTCCTGACGCCCTGGTGATTCGCAAACAGGAAGTTCCCCTCCCAAGCGAACAAATTTCCGACCAGTCGACCACAAGAAATCAACCAAACTCTGAATTCAAAGCCAGAGCAAATTTCTTGTGGCTGTGTGATTTATGGGTGGTTAGGGCAAGGGGGGGGGGGTGCAAAATAAGAGGCTTAGGGTGTCAATTTACTTAAATGCCCCTCTTTATTAATTTTTTTAAGGGGGGCAATTGCCACCCTATGCAGAACGTAGTTCCACCCTTGTGGTCGAAGATAATTTCAAACGATGAACCATTGCTCCAATCCTCTCCAATATCTCATATGGGCCAAAGTACCTTAGGGCAAGCTTCACATTCCTATTGTTGGCAATCGTCCTCTGTCTATAGAGACGAAGCTTTAAGAATACCCTTTCCCCTACTTCGAACTGGATGTTCTTCATATGTCCATCCGCATGCTTCTTCATAATCTGATTTGCCCTCAACAGGTGACTTTTAAATTCCTACAATACTCTATTTCTTTCCTCCAAATATTGCTCAACTGAATAGACTGGTGTGCTCCTCTGCCCAAAATGCACCATATGTGGAGGGACACTTCCATACAACGCTTTGAAAGGGTCACTTGATAAGTTGAATAATATAAAGTGTTATATCAGTACTCCGCCCAAGCTAACCACATGGCCCGCAACAGAGGCGTCTCTGAAAAAAAAAATCACAAGTTTCTAGGCTCCAGTTTAACACCTCTGTTTGCCCGTTTGTCTGAGGGTGGTATGCGATGCTTCTCTTTAGAACTGTCCCTTACAGCCTAAACAGAACACCATATCCAGTAAAAAACTATTGACTATGGAATCCCATGCAATCTAATCACCTCTCTAATGAATGTTGCTACTGTAATTGTCGTATTGGGTTTCTTAAGGAAATGAAATGAGCATTCAATCTGTCAACCCCCACCAGAATCACTATAAACCCTCAAATCAGGGTAGTCAATCTATGAAATCCATGGTGACCTTCTCCCACACTCTTTCGGGAAGAGCCAAAGGTTGAAGTAACCCCCCCTGGAGCCATAATCATGTATTTGTTTCTTTGGCATATCTCACACCTAGCCACCATCTCTTCCATATCCCTATGCACCCCCTTCCAATACACTTCCGCTGTCAATCTTCTATATGTCTTATGCACACCAGAATGACCCCCAACCACGCTCCCATGAAACTCCTACAGTAAGTGAGGAATATGAACCAAGGTCCATGGCAGCACAAACTTCCCTTGGTACAGTAATCTCTCTCCCTCTATGGAATAGCCAGGATGGCTATTCTCATCCATTAGTAGATCCATTCCTATCTTTCAGAGTTCATCTTTCAACACCATTTCCTCTTTGATCGCTCCCCAATATACCATCCGTGGTATTGTAATGGCCATCCCTTGGAGCTACCCCATGCATCTGGATAAAGCATCAGTTGCCTTATTATCTAATCCTGACCTATAATGGATTTCAAAGTCATAACCCAATAGCTTGGACAGCCATCTCTAGTGCTCCTCGATCACCATCCTTTGTTCTAACAAGTACTCCAAACTCCTCTGGTCTATCATAACAATATAAGGTCAGTCCAGTAAGTAAGGCCGTCAATTCTGAATGACTAACACGATGGCCATCAACTCCCTCTCATAGACTGACTTCAGCCTAACCTCGACCGTCAATATTTGACTGAAGTAGGCAATGGATCGATAATTCTGCATAAGTACTGCCCCCAATCCATACCCGGATGCATCTGTCTCTATCACGAAAATATTGCTGAAATCAGGTAAGGCCAGGACTGGTACTGTGGTCATGACCTTCTTCAACCTCTCAAAAGCCTGAGTAGCTGCCTCCCATCATGAAAAGTTATCTTTCTTCAACTGCTTTGTCAATGACCTAGCTATAGTATTATATCCTCTCACAAATTGCATGATGTACCCCATCAAACCTAGGTAACCACTCAGCTCTTTCAGATTCCTAGGTAAAGGCCATTTCAACATTGCCTCAATCTTGGCCTTATCAGCAGTCACTCCCTATTGGGATACCACGTGCCCCAAGTACTCCACACTGACCTATGTAAAAAAAAACATTTCATAAGGTTGGCCCTCAGCTTCTACTCTTATAAAACTCTTAAGACTACCCTCAAGTACTCCAAACGCTCCTCCTCGGACTTGCTCTACACTAGGATGTCATCAAAGAAGACAAGAACAAACTTCCAGA